TATGTAAGACAGCCGTATGTTTGCTATGTAAGACAGCCGTATGTTTGCTATGTAAGACAGCCGTATGTTTGCTATGTAAGACAGCCGTATGTTTGGTGAGCTCAAGTCTTTTGTGTGTGTTTGTTCCAGGCTGACGCCCGCAAAGTCAAACTCCTGGACGCCTACGACCTGCAGAGGTTCCTCAGTGACTACAGGTAAGTCCTCACTCCTTACAGCACTAACTCCTTGCTCTCTCTACCTCTTCATGGTGGAAAGTAGGCCCAAGCTGGAAAGAAATTGCTCTTTTATAGTATGAAGAGTAGGAAACACTTGGCCTTGAAGAAGGCAGAAGGAATAGTGTTTGTAATGGCACCTCGGAGCAGCGGGTAACGGGTAACAGGAGGTGGCAGCGGGTAACAGGGGGTGGCAGCGGGTAGGAATTTGTGTTTCCAGTTACAGTGGCCTGTGGTGTAGACTTGTAAGGAACTCGTGTCCTTAGGGCGGCGTAGGTGAGCCAAAGACAGAGCCCTGAGGGTGGCGTTGGTGAGTGAGGGCGGCGTTGGTGAGTGAGGGCCAAAGACAGAGCCCTGAGGGCGGCGTTGGTGAGTGAAGGCCAAAGACAGAGCCCTGAGGGCGGCGTTGGTGAGTGAGGGCGGCGTTGGTGAGTGAGGGCTCCGTAGGTGAGGGCCACAGACAGAGCCCTGAGGGCGGCGTTGGTGAGCCAAAGACAGAGCCCTGAGGGCGGCGTTTGTGAGTGAGGGCGGCGTAGGTGAGCCAAAGACGGAGCCCTGAGGGCGGCGTAGGTGAGCCAAAGACAAAGCCCTAAGGGCAGTGTAAGTTTGGCGTAGGTGAGTGAGAGATAAGAAGACAGAGCCCTGAGGGCGGCCATGTTTCTCCCCACAGAGACCTGACCAGCTGGATCAATAGCATGATGGCGCTCGTCTCCTCCGACGAACTGGCCAGGGACGTGACGGGGGCCGAAGCTTTGCTGGAGAGACACCAGGTAACATTTGGGGGACACACACCTGGTAACTTT